TTAAAAACCCAGATATAAAAAATATATATATATATATATATATATATATATATATATTTTAAGCAACGAAATTAAAATAAAACAAATTAAATATTACAATTAATTATAATAATGGAGACTATAGACTATTGTTTTAATCCGTAAGAATCAACTTCTATATTAATTAACAACTCACACATTCTTCAAGCAACTACGTTAAACCTTCTAGATTTCTATATACTAAATTAAGAATTCGTTGTCGGACATTTTGATATGCATTCAAAAATCCTTCAATTTCACCAAAGTCCAAATTTCATGCATGCATGGTTCACAATCTTATCTGTTGGATCTGACTAAAATTCACACGTTTCTCTGTTAAAGATTATGGAGGGGCAATTTTTTTTTTCTTTTTTTGATTGGTGTATTAGTTATCTTAATTAATATATTAAACAATGTCATTAGTTTAATTAGTGAAGTACTCTGGTGAGGATTTTGCAATCACTCCACTTGGCAAGCGGACCAAGTTTCGATGTAGTATTTAAGTATCGTCCCCATGGATTTGAGAATTTAGTAATTCTTACTCTAATGATTCAATAAAAGACATTGATATGATTGAAAGTGAATTAATATGAAATAAAATAAAATGATAATGTAAAATTTATAAGAACAATTATAAGAAGCGAGGATTGGACTCAGAAGTACTTGCTAACTCTTAAATCTTCTTAAAATAAATATGATTTCAATTTCATGACTTCCACGTTCATTTAGTAACTCAACAAGATCCCTCAAAGTTGAATCCTAAAGTGATTAATCTAAAACATGATTCTTCTATATGTTTTGAAATTAACACTTTGCATTAAGAACAATGACTTGAACAAGGTGACTAAACAAATCAAGTCTATTCCTAGAGCAAGAGATGTTTAGGTGCAAGATTCAGTTCGGGTTTTTAAAAACGTTTTCCAACCGGATTCAAAAATAAAAAATCATACAACGGGTGATCAAGTGGATATAAGCATTAAGAGAAGAATCAAACACAAGTAATGAAAATGAAATGCATATATATATTTAAGAAGAAAAAGAGTTAGTAGTTACATCCAGACCAATCCTCAAAGATTTAGCCCCTCATGGCTATTTACAAGATCAAAGGAGTGGAAGAAGAAATTACAAAGAAAGAGATGAAGAAAAGGAGTTGATCCTCGTTCCCAAGTGATCCAGCCTCCAAATCTTCGTTCCCACTTTGTTCTTTCTTCCTCCTGTGCTCCCAGCTCTTGTTTTTCTCTTTATTTTTCTTCTACCAAAAATCCCCCTCGTTTCCCTTTTATATCAGCTTTAAAATAG